AGCGCCGCCGTCGCGCTCCGAGGCGCCGGGGCAGCCTGTGCAGCCGTGCGTGCCAACCCCAGACAAGACGCCGCCGCTGCCGGAAACGACAGCTCACGGAGGACATCTACCTTGATTGACAGGGCATGGGCGAGGAGCTGAAGGGCGCGAGGCGTCCGGCGCAGCGCCCCCCCGTGGATGGCGCGAAAGATGAGACGGAGATCTCGCCCCTTGCGCCCGGAACCAGACGCGCGATGCGTTCTTGGCGAGAAGGGCCGAGAAGGGAGAAGGCCAGGAGCAGACGGCCTTTGGCTAGGAAGGGCAGGGAGTTACGTCGCATCCCTGCCGAGTGGAAGTCGGTGCTGCAAGTGCCCGACAAGGCCCATCGGGAAAAGTGAGTCAAGTGCGACGCGGCCCCGATCCCGACGGGCGAGTTCCCCGGGGCGGTCGACCCATCCGAGGTACTGCCCACGCGTTAGTTACGCGCTGACAAGAACTAGGCCGCTCGCGGTGACATGTCGGGCGACGACCGCCCAGCGCAGGCCGAGACAGGGGGCGTCGTGCCAGGGCGCGTGGGCATGCGGCCCCTCGTAGGTGGGTTGAAGACGAATGCGCCCGCGCTTGCCGACGCGGCGACGGCTCTCGTCCTCCGGGAGACGGCGAGCAACCTTGACTGGGCAGTGAAACGAGGAGATGTTGACTCAGCCTTCCTGAACGGCCGCTACTTGGGCGAGACAGGGCGCGCGTCCTTCAGAGCCTCGAGGGGCGGGCTGCCTGCGGTGCCCGAGCTAGGATGGCCCTGCATCCCCAATGGCAAAATCCTACAAGGCGGACTCAGTGATGCACCGTTGCTATTGTGCGAGGAGCATCGCGACGCCCTTCCATCACTACCGGAACATCCCGATCAACATTTCATACCGTGCCCTTTATCTTCAGGGGCGAGTCGGGCAAAGTGATCGGGCCCATCGGGGCGCGTGTGGACGACGACCTGATAGCTGGGCCCCCTGAGTTTTTCAAGCGCCAGGTCGCAGCGTTGGGGAAGATGCACGGTTACTGCAAGTGGCACAGCATCGGGCAGGGTTACCATCGCTGGCTGACCGACCGTTGCCGCACTTCGTGGCGCGCGCGGAAAGCGTCGAGCGCGCGCCGTTGAGCGCGGCGCAACGCAAGCAGGGGGAAAGGGGGATCGCAGCAGAGGAGCGTCAAGCGATGCATCGACTTAGCGGGCAGGTGCAGTTGTTGATCGGATCGACGAGAAAGGACCGCGCATTCCAGCTGGTCGAGGGCCAAACGCGGGCGCGCGACCCGGAGAGCACCGCGCAGGACATCGTGGAGATCTGCGAAAGGATCGTGGTCGCTAAGGCGTACCAGGTGGATATCATATTTCAGGACATTGACTTGGCCAGTGCGGCGGTGGTCGAGATCGGTGACTCTAGCCTCGCGAGCGTGGGCAAGGACAAGACGGCCAACCAGGCCGGGATCTACATCCTGATGGTTGGAAACGAGGTTGGCAAATTCGTTCGAGGAGAACCAGCGAAGGTCGCGCCGATGATGTGGAAATTGCTTCTCATGAAACGAGGTGTTCGTAGCGCCCTGACGGCGGAGACATTGGCAGCGCTGGAAGCAGTCGAGATTTGAGTTTTTTTACGAGCTCGTCTTGCGGATATTTATCGCAAATTGGACTACCAGGCGCGCGCCGACGACGTGGCGAATGGTAAGATGATGCGTGTGACTGATAGCAAGTCTCTGTTCCACCTGCTGCAGATGCGCGGTGCGATTCTTGGCGAACGCAGGCCATTGCTCGACGCCGAGGCGTTGCGCAACTACATTGCGGAACCGGATGTGGTTTCCAAGTGGGTAAATGCCCGGCAGACATTGGCCGACTGTCTGAGCCATTCTCGGGCGGCGGGACTGTCTGAGCCGCTCTCGGGCGGCGGGATTACATGCGCTATGTGCCGAGGGCGGGCTAGTGCAGGTTCGCCGAGGACCCGCAAGCCGACCAGGTTGTCGCCCAGATGAGGTGTCAGCTGAAAGGCGAGCGCAGCGATCGTGGCATAACGAAGTGTCCCGCGCGAGTGAGACCTGCGCAGCGGTGCGCCACGGAGGTTTGCGCTCATTGCGGCGAGGCTTTGGCCGACGTCTGATATGGAGTTAAGCTGGCCAACGTTGGGCCTGAGTGGAGACTCGAGTGGCGCGTGGTGGTCGCCCGGACGGTGGGCAACGCCTACTACCGCGCGATAGAAGATGGTAGATTTGCGCGGTGTTGGAATTGCCCGGAGACGGCGGAATATGCCCGGGGTGAGCAAGAAACTGTCCGCGGTCCATGCCGCCGCGAAGGAAGCTCTCACGAGGTGGCGCGACGACTTCGTGCAGGGACGCGATGTCCTGAATGACATTGACGAGCGATTGGACGTGAGCGACCACAGTGCCGTGGGCCTCGAGCGGCATGCGCTGGCGCTACAGGTGGAGCATGCAGCGGCAAAAGACGACGACTGCTACGAGGCCTGCATGATGGAGGGCGGCGTCGACTCGGACTTCCTGACCGTCGGAGGAACGGGCTGGAGCAGCCGAGGCATCTATGGCGGTGTGTGCGGTATGCTGCACGGCGGTGGTCCACCGTGGGTGTGGGCCACGGGCTTGCAAGGCAGTCAAGCATCAAGAACAATCGACATCGCCAGTTCAGGGAGATGGCAAGGCAATCCCCGCGGATTCGACGGCGGTCTACGACGACGAGGAGGAAGTGAGATGCTGGCTATGCAGAGAAGCGGGCGACGAGATCTTCGTCCCAGCTAAAGGCAAGGGCAAGGCCAAGGGTGTTGCCCGCCCCCCACCTCCTACAAGCTCGGAGCTATCAGCATCGACGCGCGGGGCGGCAACAGCTCCGACCCAGCTCTACAAGCGGACCAAGGACGTCACACATTGTACCTACGACGAGAATACGGTCGAGCGGACGGAGAAGCAGTCGATCCTGGCCCCAGTTCTTTGTGGGCACCGGCTTGAGTGGCTCGCGACTCAGGGAAGCAACCGCTTCAAGGAGAAGGTCCAGGGCAGGGTATGTTTCCAAGCGCTGAAGGGTCGGAGCGCGCCCGAGTGGGCGGAGGAGAAACGGAGGCGCACCGAGGCCGAGAAACGTTTCGCCAAGCTGAGATGGCTTGGGACGACAGGAGCCGGCAGGGATGATCGGCATGGGGGGTCGAGGCGTGCCTCGGATTGAGCTTTGAACGCGGTGGCGCCGCATTCTTTTGACAGCCGAGACTTGGCGGGCTGAGTCATGTCTGCGGTGCTGTAGCAGGCCTTGCGGCGAGTCGACGCGCAGGCCCTACCGTGAGTTCAAACATATAGACCTGTGTGATCCGAAGTGCTTGTGTATACTGTTGTTTACGCGGGCAGCTCATGATGCGTGCTAAGGGCATTTATGGTCAAGCCATTTGGGACCCTTGAGCCCTGGTGAGACCAACGAGTCCTTCCAATGCGCTTCCTCCCGGGCGGCGATCGCGAGGACATGCCGACGACGGTCGCATCATCATGATCCTGTCGGACCCCAGGGGCCCCGTCGGTTTCCAATGGAGGTTCGAGGAGTATCGAGGACTTTTCTTGCGTGCTTTTACCATTCGAGCGTTCTTGGTTCTTCCCAAATAGTGACAGTGCTTCAGCGCTATCGCCATTTTAGGATCAGCGCGTTGCTCCCGTCGTTCAGGATGGCTCTCTGGCCCCTGCACTGGCCACACTTCTGGATCACAGTGCTTCCTCGTCATTGTCGCTTTCGGCTTTCCCATCTCCCACCTTGCCGTGGTGCTCCTCCTTCTCCTGATGCTGCAGTTCCTCCTTTCCTCTTTTGTTGTAGATCCAGGCCTGTACGACGCATGCTTGCGGATAGAAAATAATCAACCCAACGGGAGGTGATGGGTGGGAATGGTCGGATCAACCCTTTTCTTCCTCCTACTCCTGAAGAGTAGTACTCCTCCTTCTCTGGAGGGGGGGGAGGAAAAGGAGGAGTAGCACTCCTCCTTTTCCTCCCCCCCCTCCAGAGAAGATGGAGTAGCGCGCTCTAGAATTGCATCCTGGGTGGCCAAGATCTAACCCAAGCGGCTTCGGCAGCGTGTCCAGCGGCAGAGTCGAGCACTGACCAGGCCGTGGAGTGGATCGAAGTGGCGGCCAGCGGGCGGCAGTTTGGGGCAGCGTAACGAATGCCATCGCCTGTTTTACGGGCCCCGTTTTCCCCAGCGTTTCGGTTCACCCTGTGGCAAAAACGCCTCGACGGACCAGCGCCAGTTCATTGGGATGTGCACGCCTTGCAAGAAGGACCGCGAGAACCTGGCCAGGATTCGCAATGGCAAGCACCCATTCATCACCGACCGTCGGCGGCGGTCACATAGGCGTTTCTCTCCAGGGTCCGACGGATCGATACCGTCGTGGAACTCACCTTCCCGGAGTGCCGTGTCAAAGGGTTCGGCTACGTCGCCAGTAGTGTGTACAGAATCCTATAGAATCTTCCTCCTCCTCTTCCTCCTCCTACTCCTCCTCCTCCTCCTCCTCCTCCTCCCCCTCCTCCTCCTCCTTCTCCTCCTCCTATCCTTCTCCTCCCATCTCTCTCCCTTTTCCCTTTCCCTTCTCCTCCTTTTCTCCCCCTCCTACTCCTCCTCCTCCCCTTCCTCCTCCGCCTCCTCCTCCTTCTCATCCTCGTCCTCGTCATTGTCCTCGTTTTCGTCCTCGTCCTCGTCCGCGTCCTCCTCCTCCTCCTCCTCCTCCTCCTCCTCTTCTGCCTCCTCCGCCTCCTCCTCCTCCTCCTCCTCTCTTCTTCCTCCGTCCTTCTCCTCCTCCTCCTCCTCCTCCTCCTCCTCCCGTCCCTTTTTCTCCTTCTCCTCCTCTTTCTCCTCCTCGTCCTCTTCGTCCTCCTCCTCCTCTTGCCTATTCCTCCTCCTCCTCCTTTTCCTCCCTCTTCGCCCTCTTCCTCCTCCTCCTCCTCTTCCTCCTCCTGCCTCTGGTCTGAAATGTGCCTGCGCGGTCCCTCCGTTCGGCAGATGGCGGAAACGGACGACGGGCTCAGGGCCCAGCTCGAGCGCCTGATGTCGGAGAACGACCAGGTCCAACAGCAGGCCTGGAGCCCTCGCCGCCGCCGCCAAGCCCCTCTTCATCATCGCCGCAGACACCCTCGGGTTGACCCAAAAGGGGGACCAGCGACAAGGGGGTGGTGCAATAGATTTGGTGCAATAGATTTGTGGGGTTGCAGGTTGCACTATATCTGGGGTGTGCAATACATTCCAGGGCGCGAATGTATTGCTGGATTTTCGCGTGCAATGCATTATTGAATCGCTTCGCTCATTCCGCCGGCCCGTGATATGGCATCGCTGGTTTTTGTCTGTGTGTTCGTTGCCCATGTTGCGCTCTTGGGGGCGGGTGTCGTTCGGACGCGTTGCGTGGGGAGTTTTGATGGTGAAGCAGTTCCCTGGGGGTCGTCTCTCGATGGGGCGAAATAGAGTCGTCGTCAAGATGCTTCTTTGGGGGGCCTCTTGGGGTCTGTTGAGAGGCCGTTCGGGGGCGCCTGGGAGACATGTTTGAAGCCTTCTGGGGCTTCTTTTGGGCCTCCTGGGAGTCTCCTGGGGCCTCTTGGCGACATCTTGGGGCCTCTTGGAGGCCTCTTGGGGCCTCTTTGGGACCTCCTGGGCGCCTTCTGGGACGGAGGGCTCCATTTTTGAGTTCTCGGTATCCCTCCTGAGTCCCTCTTGGGCCCGTCTTGGGGCCTCTTGGTCCGTCTTGGGCGGCACTTGGGCCGTCTTGAGGGCTCTCTTGGGTCGTTTCGGCGCCGTCTTGGGAGCTTCGTGGGCCGTCTTGGAGCGGTCTTGGGGGCCTCTTGGGCCGTCTTGGAGCGTCCGGAAGCCGAAAAAGCCAGAACACACAAAACATCGAAAAAACCAATGAATATCAACGATTTTGGCCTCTTGGGGCTCTCTTCGGAGGCCTCTTGGAAGGCTCTTGGGGCGTCTTGGAGGCCTCTTGGGCTGTCTTGGGGGCCTTTTGGGCCGTCTTGGGGTCATCTTCGGCGTCTTCGAGCGCTCTTTGGGCGTCTCGGGGGCCTCTTGGGCAGTCTTGGGGGCCTCTTGGGGCACTCTGAGCGCGCTCTGGGGAGCCTGAGAGGCCGCACCCAGAAGGAAAACCATCTCTGAGTAGACTTGGTCGGGCGGCGGTCGGGCGGCGGTCGGGCGGCGACCGGGCGTTGGTCGGGGTACTTTTCGCCGGGGGACCCCCAGGGGCCGCCCCGCGCGCGCGAACTAGAAATACTGTTAATACTGTTAACCAGTTACCGGAGATCTTAGCACGCCCTGGCCCGTTGGGCCGGCGAATTTGCAATGCAATGCAATACAATTCTCTGGCGCAATACATTTGCAATGCAATTGCCCCAAATCTATTGCACCACCACCTTTCAGCTGGAACCCCTGTTTGGTCACCCGGAAGACACCCTCACCCCAGCCTGGATGCGCAACTTCGCCGTGCAAGCACTGGACCGCATCGGACCGCTGAAGAGCCAACATCGAATCGCATCGGGCTGGCCGAAGTCGATGTCGAATCGGATCGATCGGACCGAAATGGACCCTGGTGAGGCCGGGGATGGCAAGGCTTCTGGTTACGCTCAGGCAGACCCCCCAGGCAGCCCTGGCTGGCCTCAACAGGCACCCCCAGGTAGTCCCACCTGGCCTCAACAGGCCCCCCCAAGCAGTCCCAGCTGGCCCGGGCCGTTCTCAACACCCTGGCGCTGCCTCTGGCGGCGCCCCTGGGGCGCTCCGCGTCCCAGGGTTGGGGTGTTGAGACCGCCCAGGGTTACTCGGGGAGATCCTGTCGAGGCCAGCTGGGACTACTCGGGGGGCCTGTTGAGGCCAGCCGGGACAACCTGGGGGGGCTGTTTGTGCGCGACCCGAAGCCTTACAATCCCCACCCGCACCAGGGTTCATTTCGATCCGATCGATTTGATTCGATATCGATTGCGGTCAGCCCGATCAGATTAGATGCCGATTTCCTAGCAATCTGCGATCCGATGCGGCTCGATGCTTGCATGGCGTAGTTGCGTATCAATGCGCAGTCGAGTCGAGTTGATTTCGACTCCGAACAAATGCGCCGATTGGATGCCCGTTCCGATCCCGATGCGTTCCGATCTCCGAACTGATTTTGCGATTCGATGTTGGTCGGTCCTGCCCCCACTGGGACAGGGTAAGCCAGCTTTTTTTCAGCGATCTTCGAGTTGTTCAATCGACGTCTGTATGTATATGTATGTGTGTGTATATATATATGTGTGTCGTTGGAGTGAGGGGATTGGGTTGGCATGAGCAGGCCCAGGAGTCAGCAATACTTTCGAGGATATTTCGATCTGGGAGCTTGTTGGCAGTTTACTTGGGCAATCTCGGAGCCATTTCGGAGGTCATCGGGGCTCTGTCGGGGCCCTCTCGGGGTCCGCTTGTGGCTGTCTTTGGGGCCTTGTTCTCTTTGAGCCATCTTGCGGGCCATCGATATCAAACAGCATGAGGTGGTCAAGCAGCCCCCCACTCCCCTGGAGCCCGAGAGATCGCTTTGTGGGGCCCTCCGAGGGCGCTCTTGGATCGCTTTTGGGCGCTCTTGGAGTTGTCTTGGAGCTTTCCTGGGTCTCTCTTGGGGCTCTCCTTGGCCGTATTGGAGCCATCTTGATGTGTCCAAAGCCAATGGGAAGCGAAAAGGCGAGAGTGCCAACCGCATTTGCTTTTCCTCAGGTTTTGGGAGGATGTTGGCCTCCTGGGGGCCTCCTTAGGAGCAGTGGCCAGTTGAGGCCGTCTTGGCGCGGTGTCGGGGCCTCTTGGAGCATGTTGGAAGCCATCTTGAGCGATCTTGCCCCATTTTGAGCCATATTGGAGGCCATCTTGGGTACTCTGGGATCCTCTTTGAGCCATCTTGGTCCATCTTGGACGCTCCACCGACGCGCGTGGCGCCCTGTCCAGAACAGAGGGGAGGGGGTAAGGAGCGGGGTCAAGACATTTTTCCCATACGCAAGCTATTTGGCTCACTCCCACCCCCAGGGCCACCACGAGGGTTCGAACTTAGTCGCGCCTGGCGCTTCGCGGTCTGGGCGATCTCAGAGCGAAGCGCAAGCCCCTCACCTTGTTCTGGGGGGGGGGGGGCGGCGCGAGAGCGCGAAGCTAATCGTGTTTCGCGCTTCGCGGAGCGCGAAGCGCGAAGATAGTTGCCCTAGCACCCGCCCTCCCATCACGTAGGCTGCACCCGCGTCTCAGCATGTTCAGCCTTCGTCTTTGGATCGGCAGCCACTGGGAAGCAACGCAGCAGACCCCAGGTGCGCGCCGCGGAGGCGAGGTGCGCCACGTCGGCCCCCACCGTCCCTGCCGCAAGCCCGTGCGCAGTCACGGCGGAGTGGCCGTCACGATGTTTGGTGGGCCTGTGCGCAGCAGGCGATGGTCCCCTCGCCGTCCCTGTCAAAAACCAATGCAGAGTGATCGTGGGGTGTCCGCGCATGGTCCGGATGTAGCCGCGAAGTGCAGTTTCTGTTTTTCATGTGTTGCAGGGACGGTGGCCCTGCGCGCAGCAGGCCATGTGCTGGCACCACCGCGGTCCCTGACAAAAGACAATACGAAGTGCTCGCGGGGCCATGACAGGGATGGGGGGGGGGTCGCCAGTCGAGTTTGGGGTGGGGGTGGGGGCGTACATATATATATATATATATATATACATATATATATATATACACACATACAGATACATACAAGACTGCATTGGCGCTTCGCGCCATGCGCCTTATTCCGGACGCTTCTCGGAAAAACGACCATGATCACGAGGACCACCACCACCAGCACCACCACCACCACCACCACCACCACCACCACCACCACCACCACCACCACCACCACCACGACGACGACGACGACGACGACGACGCTGACGACAACGACGACGACGACGATGGGGCTCTCGTGTGAACTGCAGATGGGGCGCTCGTCTCTCGAGGGCCTCTGGAAGCTCCCGATGGGACCAGAAGCGCTCAGAAACTTGGTCCTTCCTCGTCGTCGTCGTCCTTCTCCTCCTCCTCCTGCTCCTCCTGCTCCTCCTCTCGGGCAGGCCGCGGGAGCGAGCGCTCGTGGCGTCAGTAAGCGGGCTACGCAATAATGAGGCGGCAGCCCGCGATGACAGGCCGAGACCTCCTGCTCATTCGTGGGACGACGACGACGGCGGCGGCGACGACGATTGGTCGCTTCCTGAATGCCTGGAGGGGTCCTGGACGCTTGTGGGGCTTCGAGGTCCTTTCGAACCACCGTCGTGCGAACTACGGCCTCGTGGAGTGTAAGAGAACTGCTGGAAGCTATATTGGAACGGTGTGGGCTCGCGTTTGAGCTCCTGGTGACTCTCCGGACCAGAGGACTCCTTTTGGGGCTGTTTTTGGCCGTCTTGGAGCCCTCTTGGGCCGTCCCGGAACCCTCTTTTGCTTGTTTTGGGAGGCCGGGCCGGCCAGGGTTTTTTCGGGGGCCCTCTTGGCACACTCTTGGGGGCCTCCTGCGGCTCTCTGGGGGCTCTCTTGGGAGTTCTCGGGGCCCTCTGGGGCCCCTCTTGGGCCGCCTTGGGCTTCTTGATCCGTCTTGGAGCTCTTTTGGGCCGCCTTGGGCCGCTCGTAGAGGCCTCGGAGGCCATCCTGTGGCGATCTTGAGAGTCTCTGGGGATGCCGTGGACGCTGTGAAACCGGAAAGGGCTAATATCTTCAAAAGCGTACGTTTCCTCAGGGAATTGGGCGATTTTTGGCTCTTGGGGGTCCCTTTTGGGGCCTCTTGGACCGTCTTTGGGGCCTCATGGACCGTCTTGAAACCATAGTGGGTCGTCTTTGAGCGCTGATGGGCTGTCTTGCGGCCCGTGGGCTCCGATCGGCAGGGGCGTCCAACTGCTCGGAAGGCCGCCGGGGCTCCGAAGGGGCGTCCAGGGCGTTCGTTGGGTGGAGGGCAGGGGCGTCTGGGGTGTCCTGTGGGGGGATCCGGTTTAGGGTGTGTGTGTGTGTGTGTGTGTGTGTGTGTGTGGGCTTCCGGGTAGTAGGAATACACACATATATATATTTATACATATATGTGTGTGTATGTAT